TCTATATCTCTATATCTCTCTATATCTCTATATCCCTATAATCTATATATCAGTATATTTACAGTATATCTATCTGTGTATGTGCATGCACACACACACATATTAATCACAGATTTAGAATACATAGTGGAAAAAAGAATCTTGAGAATTAACAAGATTGATACTCTATGGTACAAAGCTATTCCAGAATCACATTGTTATGCTACGAATATTGTGAAGCCTTCTCCCAGAAGGTAACAAGGAAAACCAGTCATGAAGAGGATGTGTTGCATTCCTGACAATACTCAGGACCCTGGTCAAGCATCGCATATTATGACATGTCCTGGATAGAAGGAAGTGAACTGCCAATAACCATTTCTGCTGTCCTCACCACTCTCTACTTAGCCATCGTGTCTGATGCAGTAACATTTCCAAACCACACAATAACACAGTACGACAGGATGCTTTCAATCGTCCCTCTAGAGAAAGTGGTAAGGGCAGAGGAAGGAAGATGTGCTCTTCTCATGCAGGAAATGCAGGCGCTGCTGTGCTCGCTTCATCACTGTCTCACTGTTGAACGACCAAGCTGACCTGCTATTTCAGTGTTTACCTCAAATTCCTTGCTCTCTTGTTTCATTTCAGAAATGCCCAAACCTGCTGCAGTTGCATTTGAACCAGAGCTGAGCCTGCTCATGGTGTCCCCTCAAACCACCTCTATTTTCATGGAAACAATAAAATTCCTCTTGGATGTCAATGCCCTTCAGGTGAGTCAACCATGGGTCAAACGAGGCGGGGGAAAGCCTGGAAAACATTTAGGCGCATCGATTTAGGAGTTACCAAGAGCACATCCATTGGGATAACAGTCAACCCTCCTTTTTTCCATCACAGAAGCAGAGGGGGCCAGGATTAAGGTTACATGAATTTGTTTTGTGATATTTGAGGGGTGGGGTGGGGGTGTGTGATTTGTTAAGTGAGTTTTGCCCCGTTTTGTAACTTTTCTTGCCACATTCAACCCTAAATTGAAGATTTCCTGTAGCTTCTGTGAAAATTGGGCTTACTTGTTTCTCTCCTCCTCACTAGAGGCAGGGGAGGCGTGGCCTCACCAGTCATGAGGGAAAGGAAAGAATTTTAAAGAATTTTTTAAAAATAATTAAAGCCAAGGTAATTGCTGCCAGATTCTAAGTCACAGTGACTTGGAATAGTGCTTAGTGTTAACTATAGGAGGAGGCGAGAGAATTAGGGGCCTCCTATGCATAAGCAATTTTTC